CCTGGAGGGCATCCAAACATCCCAATGACCAGGCCACACCCTGTCAGACTCTCTTGGGTAGGATCTTAATAGCAAGACAGGCAGCCAAAGGAGGATTCTCAAATATCCTTTCAGACTGAGAAGGTGGTGTTGCACAGTGGTCTGCGTTAATCGGTGAGGGAAGGGCTAGGGAAGACCCTCCTTCTTGTGCCCTGCTGTCTGTTACCTCAGCTCATCTCTGTGAGACAGATTCCACTGGGGAGGGGGAGTCCTCCTTGGTGGGCCTGAAATTCTGGTGGGAAAAAATAACACATGCAGGCAGGAATATCATCATCCTGGCCTAGATTCTGAGGTCTGATTAGGTCACCCTTTTGGGACTTGACCTTCCCCAGATAATAATCTGTTCCCCCTCAGTCAGAAAAAAAGAATTAGAGACCCTGCTTCTGACACCTCCATGTGACCAAGCATTCCCTAGAGGTCTAAATGGAAACAGGCCTCGCCTTATCCATAGGTTCCACTGTTCTGGGTGGACCTCCCAAAGAGGTTCCAAAAGTGGACCTATTCCTAAGTAACTATTTGTAACAACTCTGCTTGAGCCAGCATCTCCTCAATCCTTATGCCAAGAGGAAGCAGACAGGAAGCTGGAAACTGGATTTATTTTTTAATTTTAATTTTATTGGAGTATAATTGATTTACAATGTTGTGTTAGTTTCAGGTGTACAGCAAAGTGGTCCAGTTATACATATACATACAATTGTTCTTTTTTAGATTCTTTTCTCATATAGCTTATCCCAGAATATTGAGTAGAGCTCCCTGTGCTATACAGTAGGTCCTTGTTGGTTATCTATCTTATATATAGTAGTGTGTGTATGTTCATCCCAAGCTCCTGATTTTTCCCTCTCCCTCATGCTCCCGCTTTGGTGAACATAAGTTTGTTTTCAATATCTGTAAGTCTGGGAAACTGGATTTTAGAAACAGGTTGGTGCACAGCAGGTGAATCCTGACCACAAGTCCTCTGGGCTGACTCCATGGGGGTCCATGTGGAGGTTGTGTGTCATCTGATTCCTCACGGGGCCAACCAGCTGCCTTTCCCACTTTTCTGTGTGTGGGATTCACCTGGGGAGCTTGTTGAATTGCAGATTGTGACTCAGTTGATCTGGGACAAGGCCTGAAATTCTTCATTTCTAACCTGCTCCCAGGTTATACCGGTGCTGCTGGCCCCCTGGCCACACTTTGAGTAGCACCTCGTGCTGAGGAGTCCCACACATTGAGTTGCAACTTTGTTCCTCTTGGACCAGCAGCATTGTTAGAGGTGCAGATCTTTAGGTTCCACCCCAAATCCACCGAATCGCTGCATTTTAATAAGATCTCCTCGCAGGGTTATATGCACATTAATGTTGGAGAAGCACTGACCTAGAAGACCTGTCCAGGAGGCTGGTCTGCCCAGAGCCAACGGCTTTGTAATGGGAACTATGATTTTAAGGCACACAGCTTCTCATATAAAATCTGGATATAATGCATTGTTAGAAAGGAGCACCATTCTCATAACCAAGGGGGCTATCTCCATAGGGAATCTTAGCCCAGGAGTAGGGGGATGGCTGGTGGGTCTTTGCAGAGCCATCTTTCAGTGGGTGGCAAGACCCACCAGAGGGAGCCAGAGCCTAGGAGGTGACTGAAGGGACAGATGTGGCAAGGGGGGAGGAGAAGCCTGGACTTTTTGTGTATGACTTGCACACACACACACACACACACACACGCAAACACACACAAGTACACATACTCCTTGATAACCACTATAATAATAAATTGGAAAATGTACTTAAAGAAAAAGAGGTAGAAAATGAACATTAAAGTTAATGAGGGTAGGAAGTTAAGAAAGTTCAAAAGAAAAACGTATTTAGAGAATAATAGAACTCATAAATATATATGCAATATAATATAGTAGAGTATCATTCCTACCTAGGATAGGAAATGATTTCTTAAGTCATGAAAAGCACTAGCCATCAAGGAAAAGACTCATAAATTGGAGTGCAGCTGGCATAAAAGTAAGAAAGGAGAGAGGCCAGTCTAGAATAGGAGCAGATATTTGCAACGTAGGTTACTGGCAAAGGGCTTATCTCAAGAACATGTAAAGAAGTTCTTTTCAATAAGAAAAAAAGTATTAGAAAAAATAGACGAAAGACTTGTTGAATAGACATTTCACTAAGGGTAATCTCAATGGGCAATAGAAAAAGTGTTCAACCTCATCTGTAATCAGAAAGCGCAAATTAAAGCCACAGTGAGATATCACAAGATACCCATTAGTGTTGGCAAGAGGGAATTCTCATACTTTACTGGTGGAATGGTGAATTGTAGAGACACTTTGGAATAGAGCTGAGAATTCTCTAGGAAATCAAAGCTACACGTATCCTAGGGCTCAGCAATTCCACTCTTAGGTATGCACCTGACAGAATAAGTGCAAGGAAACATGACAAGAATGTGCCCCAAATTTAAAAAAACCAACCTAAATGTAAACAACAGAAGACTGATTAATAAATGAGTCTTCTCTTTGAAGAGAAGGTGGCTTCTCTTTGTTGCAGAGCACAGGCTCTAGTTGCTCGGGCTTCAGTAGTTATGGCACGTGGGCTCAGTAGTTTTGGCTCGCGGGCTCTAGAGTGCAGGCTCAGTAGTTGTGGTGCACGGGCTTAGTTGCTCCACAGCATGTGGGATTTTCCCAGACCAGGGCTCAAACCCGTGTCCCCTGCATTGGCAGGCGGATTCTTAACCACTGTGCCACCAGGGAAATCCTATTCCGTGAAGGTGTTTTTGGACGAGATTAACATTTAAATCAGCAAACTCTGAGTAAAGCAGATTGCCCATTGCTCCATAATGATGGTGGGCCTCATCCAATCAGGCCTGAAGAGAACAAAGGCTTATGTCCCCTGAATAAGAGGAAATTCTGCCAGTGGACTTGAATTTCGACATGGGCTCTCCCTGGGTCTCCAGCCTGCTGGACCACCCCTGCAGATTTTGGATATTCCAGCCCACACTCATGTACGTTAATTCCTTAAAATAAATTTCTCTCTGACTCCAGATCCCACCCCAACCTATCGTTGCCATGGTGACATCACTTCTGGGCAGAGTGGCAGGGTGCCCTTTCTCACTCTCCTTTTCCCTGATGCCTGGAGGAGCTGAGCCCTGGCAGTGCCACCCTTTTCTACCTGGACCTGCTGGGACAAGGCCATAGCTTCTCCATCTCAATACCTGGAGGTAACCAGGCTGCTGGTACATGGCCAGCCCTAGAATATCCCCCATCAGCCCACAGTCCACTGCTGATGTCTCTGTGAATTTCCTTCTAGTCTTTTTTCCTCCTGCATATTTGTATATTGACAGCATCCAGATCATACTCTATATAAGTTTTGTATTCTGTCTTTTTAAAATATCACATTACATCATGAGCATATTATTGGAAATTTGACGAAGACTTGATTTTTTGATAGGCCCATAATATTCTGTCATGTGTCATTCATTGGTTGTTCCACAAATATTTGTTGAGTGCTCGCAATGTGCCAGGTGTTGTGTGGCTTGTGCAAGCAGTTGCCTGTAGGACAAATGTGTGAGTCAATGAATACAGGGCAGGAGGCTCAGAGGCACTTGTTGCTATTTCCAGGTTCACAGCTGTTCCAGGTAACTGAACTTGCCCAGGTAAGAGGAGCACCAATGTATTTTGGGTGGCTGGCGTCGGTACGAGCACTGGACCGAGCTCTAAATATCCCCATTTGGGGATGTTTCCTGGTAGAAGCAAAGGAAAGCTTTAGGACCAGTACTTGTCAGAGACAACTTCTTCCGTAAGCTGCTGCTTTACTTTTTAAACTTCACGTTTTCAACAGGTAATATGCTTACATCGTTCTAAAATTCAAGACGCAATAATAATGTACACAATGAAAAGGCTTATTCCCACCTCTTCCTCATCTGCCAGGTACCCACCTCTGGTAACCATTTTTATCATGTTTTTGGTATGTATTATTCTAGAGTTTCTTTATGCAAATACAAGTTTCCTTTCCAACACAAAAAAGTAGTCTACAATTTATATACTTTTGCACCTTGCTCTTTTGCACGAACAGTATTTCTCAGCAATATTTCCAAATAAATAAAGATCTTTTTATTACTTCTATAGTCCTGTTACTCCTATATAGTATTCCATTGTATGGTCAACCATAACTCTCTAGCCAGTCACCTGTTAATGGACATTTGAGTTTCCCGTTAGGCTTGTCATCTCACACAAGGCTGCACTGACAAACTTGTGTGTATTTTATTTCATACATGTAATTGCTGGGTCAAAGGGTAAACACACTTGTAACTTTGGGTATATGTCGCCTAATTACTCTCTACAGGACTTTGTGCCAATATACATTCCCAGCGGCAACACTCTTGACCCCACTTTTGGGCAGGAACCCAAGATGATTGCTTATTAGGTCAACAGGCTGAACATTTGCTCTATACTAGATCCCATGGTAAACAACCCCAGTGCAAAGAACAAGATGCTATTGGCACCTGCTTTTGAGCAGAGGGAGAGGCAGACCTATTTATTGGACAACCAAGTCCATATGTGACAAAGCGCTATAGCATGATACAGGAAGTGCTGTGAGAATGTGGACCAAGGGATAATTTATTCTGCAAGGAGATCTTCAGAGGAAGCAATAGTTAAGGTGGGCCCTAAAAGACAAGCAAGTTGTCTAGGGGGAGAGAGGTATTTGAGACAGGGGGGAGCATGTCTAGAAGCTGATTCCAAGAACCATAGATAGAGTTCATGGACGGAGCATGAGGAACTAAGATTGGAGCTAAGATTGGAGAGGCAAGCCAACACCAGGGAGAGACTTTAGCTGATGAGCCTTCATCCTGAAAGAACTGACCTCACAATAGCTCCACGTAGGCCAGTTATGATGCAAGAAGTTTGTGACTGTCCCTTGGGTTCCCATTAAAACTGTCTTACAAAGAAACTCCAGGCACTGACACCTCCCATCTTAGCCTATTGCCAGAGTATGATCAGAGAATGGGAGAATGGCTGTCAGAAGACTGGAAAACAGAGGGCTAGAGATTCATGGGCCCAAGAAAGGATGACTACAGAGGGGAAGTCAAATAAGAATGGAACACCAGTCCAAGTATTCAATATAAGCGATTCCTTTCAGGATAAAGACTCCCTGTGCTGCCAGGGGGATCCATGTTCTGCTTCACCGTTGGGGTGAGTATGACCTGTGCTTCTGGTCTATTCCTTCCCACCCATGTCAGAACGAGGCCAAGTGGAGGAGCCCACTCTAAGGCTGTAGAAACCCTGGTCACAGTGACCCTACCCTGACTAATGTAGAATCACCCTTTGTGAGATTTCCCATTCCAAAGGGAAAACTAGGAGGACCCTTTCCGAGTTCTAATACACCTCTCTGCCTTCCAGCATATGGACCAAATTCTACAAATCAGACCCACGCATTGCCCTCGGAAAATACTCCCCCTTGGAAAAAGAGATCCTAGTAAGTGCTGTGAAATTTATACACAGGGAAGCCCCATGGAAGCCAGGCAGTTAGGCTAGGGGAGCCAGAGGTTCAAAAACCACCAGCAATAGAGATGTAAGTCTCCCAAACAGCAGACTGGAGTTGGCCACTACTTGGCCGTTGTGAGCTAGTGGCTTCCACGCTTGCATAGCAAAAGCAAAAGACTCTCTTATTTCGAAGTCCCAAGTAGGAATATAACTACAAGTGATAACAAATCACGGAAGCTGCCTTTTCTCAAGCCCTTATCTTGCACTGGTGGCTTTCATATATGTTATCTTATGGAGACCTCACAGGGGCCTGTAAGATCAATAAAATTCTTTCAAATTCATAGTAGGTAAGAAGGAGAGTCAGGAGTTGAGCCCAGGCTCGTCTAACCCCAAAGATCTGTCCTCTTTCTCATGACCCAGGGGCTCGGGCACCCTCAGCGATGGAGGGTGAAGGTGCCACTAGGTAATTGTTCCTGTGGGTCCCCCCTACTCCTGTCCCGTTGAGATTTTAACCATCCCTTTCCCGTTGTCAGCGTCTAGGTGGTGTTCACACCATAGCAGCCAGGAGGTTTCTGACTTATAAGCAAGAAGAAGAACGGAAAATGCTCAAGGAACTACAGGTGCTGTCTTCAGACTATAAAAGGGCGGTGGAATATAGGAAGCAACTCACCCCTCCTTGTGCCCCCTGTGGACCCCTAGAAAAAATCTGGACGGCGAAGGTGATGGTGCCCCCGGTGGAGTTCAAAATGCCACAACGGGAGAGGCTGAACATCAGCAAGCACATAGAACGAATGCGGCTCGCTCGAGGCCTGAGGAATAAGCAGCCTTTACCCTACATTGAAAGATTTAGGAGCTCTTTGCTTCTGTCTGGAGGGGGCCTGGGCCCCCCGGCAAGGGACGAAACTGGGGAAGGCAAGGATGACCGAGACGCCGATCACTGCGACTATGCCCATCAAGAGAAGAGAGGTGAGGCAGAAAGCAAAACCACGAAAAGACAGGAAATAAAAATGAACGTAATTTTCAAGTCAGAAGAACCAAAAAAATGTGTAACGTACCACCCAAATGATCTAAAACCATTCCTCCCTCCAAAAAAAGCAGAAAGATCCATCGCTGGCTTAACAAACAGAAATCTTTTGCACCTGGCCGAATTCCCTGGCGACCTAATGCTGATGAATCAGGATTTTATATCACGGGGAATCCACCCCAGTGATGTGTCAAAGGCCAGCTGCCTGGAAGAAGGCAGCGCCTGGAAAGAGTACATGCACAAAGCTGCTTCCCACCATTATTAAAGCTTTATTTATTCCCCATGGAAACCGAGTGCCCTGGTCCTTATTACTCCTGCAGCTCTGCCCCAGGTGGCTTCCCTCTTTCTCTTTTTTTCTTTCTTTTTTTAGCTGTAAAAAAATTTTATTTAAAAAGTTTTAAATTTTATTTCTAATTTTTAAAAAACTAATTTATTTTATTTACTTATTTTTGGCTGGGTTGGGTCTTCGTTGCTGTGCACGGGCTTTCTCCATTTGTAGCAAGTGGGGGCTACTCTTCGCTGAGGTGCACAGGCTTCTCATTGCAGTGGCTTCTCTTGTTGCTGAGCACGGGCTCTAGGCGCGCGGGCTTCTGTAGTTGTGGCATGTGGGCTCAGTAATTGTGCCTTGTGGGCTCTAGAGTGCAGGCTCAGTAGTTGTGGTGCACGGGCTTAGTTGTTCCACGGCATGTGGAATCTTCCCGGACCAGGGCCTGAACCCATGTCCCCTGCACTGGCAGGCAGATTCTTAACCACTGCGCCACCAGGGAAGCCCCCAGATTTTTATTTTATGTTGGAGTAGAGTTGATTAACAATGTGTTAGTTTCAGGTGTACAGCAGAGTGATTCAGTTATATGTATACATGTATCTATTCTTTTTCAAATTCTTTTCCCATTCAGGTTATTACAGAGTATTGAGCAGAGTTCCCTGTGCTATACAGTAGGTCCTTGTTGGTTATCTATTTTAAATATAGCAGTGTGTACATGTCAATCTCAAACTCCTTAACTATCCATCCCCCCCACCCTCCCCCCGGTAACCATAAGTTTGTTCTCTCAGTCTGTGAGTCTATTTCTGTTTGGTGGCTTCCCTCCTTTTCTCCTTACAGGACCCGATCTCCAGGGCGTCCTCAAGGTAAGACCTAGCTGCTGAGGCTTCCTGGTGTCAGGCAACTGTTGGCTGTCAGCTGCTCCCCCCCAGCAGCCCAGGCCTTCGCAGGATAGACTCCTCCTTTTCATCTACTCCCATGGGGCCTGCATCAGTTACCTGCTTCGGTGAAGCGAGTCACCCCAAAATTTAACAGCTCACACCAACTGTCATTAATTTAGGTTATAATTCTAATTGTGGGTCAGCAATTTGGGCTGGTCTCAGCCGAGTTCCTCCTGTGTCTCCAGTCAACGGCGGGTCATTTGGGTGGTTCTCTTTCTCCGGGGAGAGCTATCAGCTGGGTCAGTGGGAGCCATGGGTTACATCTTTCCTCTTCCAGCAGCTGTAGCAGGCCAGCCCCAGGCTTGTTCACGGGGCTGCTGCAGGAGCCGAGAGAGCAAGCAAAAGTCTGCAAGGACTCTTGAAGCCAAGACGAGAACCGGCACACCACCACTTTGCCACACACTGTTGGCCACAGCAAGATACACGGCCAGGTCCAGAGGCAAGGGTGTGTAAATGGACTTCACCTCTTGTTGGGAGGAGGTGGAAAGTCACACTGCAAAAGGGCATGAGCTCAGGGAGGCTGGTACAGACAGGACTGTCGCTGCATTCAGTCTGCCCCAGAGCCCCTGGGGCTGGAGCTGGGACCAGCCTGTAGCCCAGATGGGGGGAAAGACCCCTGCTCAGGAAAGAGGCTGCCCAGGCCTAAAGGCTAGAGGTCTGTTCCATGCTCCCCACTTCTTGCCTAGACATGCAGCTTCTACCTTGGAAGGCAGAGCCAGCCTGTTCCCGGCCTGATCTCTGCCGCCTTCCTCTTCTGTGCGGCCAGGTGACTTACGCCCTCCCCATCAAGTCAAGTGCAGGCACGGGACACGCAAGGCTGTAGCAGGCACGATTCCTTTGGATGTGTCAGGAGGATGATCCAAGGTCCCTGCGGTCAGCTATTGCTACTCCCATGAAGGCCCTGCCTCGGCCCCAAGGTGGCAGACCTGGGAGATATTTCAGCGTTTGAGAAGATGACACATTCGTTTCTTGTCTGCATCTGAAACCCAGAAGGATCCCCCGGTTAATCACGCGCTGTCCTCGGCAACTCTGCACACAGTTGGAAAGGCACTGAGCTTGCCCCACAGGTACAGCTTCCGGGACAAGGCCAGCATTCTTTCTAGATCGTCCCTCTCCGTGGAGTTTTCGCAAATTGGCTCTTTCAGAACCACAGCTCTCCAAGCAGACGGGGGGGTCGTGGGCGGGAGGCCGACCCGCTCCCATTTTCCAGGAGAACTCCATTGGCCATAGCCACAGGTTAAGAGAAAGTATTGTATCGGGAGCAGCTATTGCCAAGAGAGCGATTTAGGGAGAGGTAGCATAATCCCAAAGTCATCAGTGGAAGAATCAGCAGAGACCAAAGGAACGCTCGCACCTTTCAGCTGCGGCAAGGTTGGAAATCAGGGAGAAGGGAAATATTATCTCCAGCGTTGATATAACTTCTCCAACGGCTATAAACTTGTGAATATCAGAGCAACACATGAAAACTCAAACCAGTTTGAAAACATTTTAAAGCTATTTAGCTGGACCCTGAACATTGCTCGAGATCAGCTGTGCGATGTGGTAGAAAGTTCTTTGCACGAGAAGCGAGACCAGTGCTCTTCTTAGAGGTCTACCACCAACCAGCTGGGAAGTGTGGGTAAACCACAAGGCTCTCTGTGACTCAACTTCCTCAGCAGTTAAATGAGCTCATCAACTAGAGCATCACCAAGGTCCAGTTCTGGGATTCATTTAACTAGTTGTTTGCAGTGGAGTTTGCCTTGCTCACCATCTGCTTAGTGTCACAACCTAAGAACTGTGTTACAGCACCAGGTGGTGCTGGTCTGGAGGCATTTTCACTGAGTCCAGTAGTCACCTCTGAGAATAAATCAGGGAAGGTGTTAACAACCTTGTTGATAGTGTCATTTTAATTACAATAAACATTAATTACTTGGAGCCATCTAGAAATAACCCACAGTTAACCGTACAGGTTTGTGTATCTGTGTGCCATCTTCTAGGAAGTATATATGAAAATAAACTTAGATTTATTTATTATTAAAGGTTTCTGAAAAATCTCTGAATCAAGTATGTATTCCTTCTAACTGCTTACCTGGAGTTATATAAACACACCCAGATGATAATATTTGATAAAAAGATAAGTGACCTAAAGAGCCCTGCAAGAGCCTTAGGCTATGGTGAAATTTAATTAAAAATTTATTTTTTTTTAATTAAAAATATTTTTATTGAAGTATAGTTGATTTACAGTGTTTCAGGTGTACAGCAAAGTGATTCAGTTATATATTTACATACATGTATATATATGTATATATATTTATACTCTTTTTCAGATTCTTTTCCATTATAGGTTATTACAAGATATTGAATGTAGTTCCCTGTGCTGTACAGTAGGTCCTTGTTTATCCATTTTATATATAGTAGTATGTATCTGTTAAACTCAAGTTCCCAATTTATCCCTCCCCCCCGCTTCCCCTTTGGTGACCGTCAGTTTATTTTCTATGTCTGGGAGTCTGTTTCTTTTTTGTAAATAAGTACATTTGTATCGTTTTTTTATTTAGATTCCACATATAAGTGATATCATATGATATTTGTCTTTGTCTGACTCACTTCACTTAGTATGATAATTTATAGGTCCATTCATGTTGCTGCAATGGTAATGTTTCATTCTTCTTTTTAGCTCAGTAGTATTCCATTATATATTTGTACCACATCTTCTTTATCCATTTCTCCATCGATGGACACCTAGGTTGCTTCCATATCTTGTTTATTATAAATAGCGCTGCTATGGACATTGGGGTGCATGTATCTTTTTGAGTTAGAGTTTTCATCTTTTCCAGATATACGCCCAGGAGAGGGATTGCTGGATCACACGGTATCTCTATTTTTACTTTTTAAAGAACTATGGTGGAACTTAGAAAGCCTTTGGGCATCAGCCCAAAGAGACTTCTGGTGAGGAGTAATTTAATCTGAAATTTGTAACAATTCTTTATTCCTTGAGAACTCTGATACAAAGTAGCCTTGTGGGACAAGTGATAGACTAAATTTTTCCCAAAAGTCCAGTATTGGTTATTCAATATACAGAGGCAAAAAGAGATAGATGATAGATAGATAGATAGATAGATAGATAGATAGATAGATAGATGATAGATAGATAGATGATAGATATTTCAGAGGAAAAAAGAATCTGATAGTTGATTTTCACATAAGCTTAGTGTCGTCATTACTGGAAAAAGTCAGAACTTCTTTGGACTTCCTTAAACTTAAGTTTAGTATCAGTTTTATTTTGAATTACCTATGGAAACAGACCTCATTGTCTTTTCCATTCTTAGAACCAGTACAGATTTTAATCTGTTCTTGCCCGAGACCCACAGGAGCCCTGTGGCGTCAGAGAGGGGCTCATTTACGGGGATGGTGTCCGAAGAAGGCGACCAAATGAGCTGGAAGATTCCGGGGTGCGACATCTGGCTGTAGCACTTTGGACATGGCCAAACCTTCAGCTCCATTTCCTGAAGAGACACTGGGTGCTTCCTGCTATAGTTCACCCCTAGACCGTGTCTGTTGCCCACCTTTGGGATCCCATAGCAATCTGACTTTGCTCCCTCCACCTTCCCTGTTTCATCTTTCCTCACGTATAACCCACTGGGTGATGAGCCATTTGTGTGACCCCAGTGCCCAGGTTCAACTTAACCATTCTGGCAGCCCTAGTGCCTAGCACACCTTCTGTACTCCACAAATCATTACATCATTGTAACGAGGTGACATTTACATTCCTTAAGAGCTGGTACCAGGATGTATCTCAGGGTAAATTGTCTTTCTTGGGGAAAAATAACCTTACAATCCATTTTGAGCTGGAACGGGATACTTGAGGAGCCCCCCAAACAAAACAAACTAGTGAGATGGAGTAAGGCAGGGTGCATGGGTAGAGGGACCACATAAAACCCCCAGGTGGCGATGAAAAGAAGGACTTGGACTCCACCCTCAACAAGCTTGTAAACTGGTTAAAGAATGAGACAAATATTCAAAAATGTTAATACCATGGAGCCCCACCTACCCAAGTTTATCTTCCTCTCCGCACCATGAGTCTCC